CAGCCTAAATTCATGGAACTGCTTTGGGCAGGAGTTTAGTGTGTGGTCGGTCAAATGGGACTTCCATAAAATTCAAAAAACCCTGAACTGATCTGGGTGATTTTTGGATATGTTGGTCACCCAGATCAGGGCTATCAGGAGATTTTATGGGGATACTATGTTTTTTAGGGTACTTTCCAAGTTTTGGGGAAAATATGTTTTTACTGCCTGGAGATAATTGAGTTACCAGGTTAGCGGACTCAATTATCTCACAGGTAGAGAGGAGGGGATTGTCTGTTTGCATTGGGAGTGTTCATCTTTGCCACTGTAATATTATTGGCTGTAACCTTTGTGTCCCTGTCCCCCACAAGGTCCATGTAGGAGTGCCCCTTGCATGGGGACTTGCATAAAGCCAGTGTGGCACCATTAAAATTAATTCCTGTTGTACCCTTCATGAAGTCCAGGCTCATGTTTGGGTAACTATCTACTTGCTGGGGAGAAACTACTTGGAAGCTGCATTCGTCTGAAACTATTCGTATCTATACCCAAACTGCAGTTATAATCGCAAAAAGATAAGTCCTGCGCTCACACCCATCACTACTGGGCGGCAGCAATGACTACAGTACACTACAGCCCCAATATATAGAAAAAAACAAAGAAAAACAAGTTACCTGAGCTCTCTTCTTAATCCCTATGTATCTTTAAACAAATGGAGGTTTTTAGTTACCTCCAATGCTCATGAAAGGGTAAACTCACCTGCCAACGTCAAGACAGACCCCCCTAGGGGGGTCCTAACTCTAACCATTCACCTTGCTTCCTTGAGCTTCTGGCAAAGACATCTCTATTGAAACAGAAGGGTTTTTTTGTTTTTTTTATATACACCCCTATACATTTATTAACCCTTATAGGGTACACATGGGATGGACGGCAGCATTGTAACAAAGCTGTGTGATACAAAAAGTGGATACAAATGCAAAAAGATAAGGCTCAGCAGTTCGGGAGGAATAGGCGAACAGGGTATCTACTATACCAGCGTTCGTAGCATGTTCCTTTAAGCATGTTACTTTGTCCTTGTTTCTGACTTTAGTTACTAATTTTCCTAGTACAACAATTGTATCGTCTCCAACAACCATCATTGACTTTATAATAAACCTCGATCAACTAATAATGACATCATAATAAACCTCCAGCAACTAATAATGACATCATAGTAAACCTACAGCAACTTACTGACATGATAAAAAACCTCCAACAACTATAACTGACATCATAAAAAAACCTCCAGAAACCATTAGTAAAATCATAATAAACCCCCAGCAACTATTACTGACATTATAATAAACCTACAGTAGATATTATAGGCCATAATAAACCTCACACACACACACAAACATTGATGAAGGACAGAAATGTTGACGTGTTTGTTGCATTACACTGTTTCACAATAAAGCAGTTTATATCCTCAAAGTGTGCAGCATTTGTGTGTGTGTGAATTTATGTGCAGCTACAGTTTTTGATCAAATGTATTGTATTCGAACAGGGATACAGCTGGATATCTAGAAAGAAAATGGCAACAAATACAGTATTTATTCAAATCTTTTAAGGCACCTTTTTTTCTTAAAGTTTCCAAAATTTTAATACGCATTAGATTCGATGATGCATTACATTCAGAGCAGAATTCAAAACTTTCTGACTAATTGCATTCTGGCGAATTCACACAGGCGAATTAAAACTGATTAATTCAAACTGGTGAATTCAAACAGACGAATTTAAATAGATGAATTTAAATAGATAAATTCAAACAGACGAATTCACACAGGCAAATTAACACTGGTGAATTCGACCACGCAATGTCACACAGGCGAATTAACACAGGCAAATTTTGCTCCTGAAACAGGGCTTAAGAAAGAATAGACTTAACTTGTAACACTAAAATTGAAATACCATCAATGTTACAATGGAAATGGCAGTGGTTCCCAACCTTTTTTCACTTGGCAGTCCATTTCCAGAAATTATACCCCTCACATTAGTGAAATGTTTGTAATTAATATAGTTGCTATTATTTCTAATGTATACATTTTTGCTCTGTCCCATCACCTCTATTTCTCTGCCTTATACTCTCACTGCTCCTCCTTTGCCCCAGGGTCTCACTGCTCCTCTTACTGCTGCCCCAGGCTCTCCCTGCTCCTCCTCTGACCAATGCTATCCTTGCTGCTCCTCTGAACAAGGCTATCCTTGCTGCTCCTCCCCCCAAGGCTATCCTTGCTGCTCCTCCGACCAAGGCTATCCTTGCTGCTCCTCTGTCACAGGCTTCCTTGCTCCTCATTCCTCGGCTCCAGGCTGTCCCTGCTCTTCCTCTGCACAAGGCTCCCCTTCTTCTCCTCTGTCCAATGCTGCTCCTCCTCTGCTACAGGTTCCCCTGTTCATTCTATGCCCCAGGCTTTCCCTGCTCCTAATTGCTCTGCCCCAGGTTTTCCCTGCTCGTCATTCCTCTGCCCCAGGCTTTCCCTGCTCATCATTGCTCTGCCCAGGCTTTCCCTGCTCCTCATTCCTCTGCGCCTCCTAGTTTCCCCATGCTCCTCATTCCTCTGCGCCCCCTAGTTCCCCCTACTTCCTCTCTGCCCCCCAGGCTCCCCACTGTACCTCAGCTTTTGCTCTGAACCCCCATGCTCCCCCTGCTCTTCCTTTGCCCCTAGGCTCCCCCCGCTTTTCCCCTGTCCCCCAGACTCCCGCTGCTTTTCCTCGGCAACCCATCTTTTTCTCTGCCCCCCCAGCTTGTCCTCTACCACCCCAGCCTCCCCCCTGCTTGTCCTCTACCCCAGGTTCCTCCAGCTTGTCTTCTACCACCCCGGGCTCCCCCCTACTTTTCCTCTGCCCCTCAGGCTCCCCCTGCTTGTCCTCTGCCCCAGGCTCCCCAGCTTGTCTTCTACCACCCCAAGCTCCCCCCTGCTTTTCCTCTGCCCCTCAGGTTCCCCCTGCTTGTCCTCTGCCCCAGGCTCCCCCAGCTTGTCTTCTACCACCCAAGGCTCCCCCCTGCTTTTCCTCTGCCCCTCAGGCTCCCCCTGCTTGCCCTCTGCCCCAGGCTCCCCCAGCTTGTCATCTACCACCCCAGGCTCCCCCCTGCTTGTCATAATGAAACGAATTGCACATGTCTAAACAGGAATATAAACATATGAAGCATAATAAATAGAAAAAGATTAATTGCATTTAGCCATAAAAAAACAGGACAGTTCTTAGCAACCTATGGCACATGTGCCATGCATGGCACTCAATGTGCATTTGCACGGCACTCAAGGCTGCCAGAACCAAACAGGCTTTGGCCTATCATGGTTCCCAGTGGGACTTCAGATATCTACTAGTGCAAACCTAGCGGTGATTGCAGGTGGTGGGGGACAATCCTCAATTTACGCATTGCAGCACTTAGAGGAAGTGATCTCAGATCGCTTCCACCCAGCACTTGTGAACAGGAATATGCACTGGAGTAGAGCAGCCCACAGCAGGTATCGCAGCTCCTGCCCTTGTGTACCAAGGCAGCCAGGTCCCCACTGGACCCCAGGGAAGCCATTCATACACAACTCTATTCAAATAAAATAGTACCGGCACGCCAAGGGACTTTAAGATCTTGTTTTGGCACAGTACTACTAAAAGGTTGCCTACCACTGCCATAGGATAATGCTATGAATGTAATTTAAAGGACACAATTTAAAAAAAAGTTTATTACATTTACTTGCTGCTTTTACTTTTACTTGCTTGCTTACATTTACTCAACTTACTTGCTGCTTTGATTTTTAATTTGAAACTGGAGTAGCAGTTAATTTGAGCTGCAATTGTTTAGATAAGAATAGAGTCTGGCCCAATATAGCTACTAAGCCAGATATCTAAGCCAAATTTAATGTTTACATTGCAAAGTTAAATACACCTCTAGTGGCGGTCTTCCTGAAAGCCACTAGAGCCCTTGCCCTCTAGAATAGAATGAATCTCCATCCTGGAACCAAATGCTGCTGATAACAGCATTATATTGGAGGACAACAAAAAGGAATACTATTGAGAAATAGTCCCAAGAAAGAAGTCAGGGTGCCTAATCTCAATAGATTACCCACTGGAAATAGAACCAACTCAATTGTATAGAAGTAATAAAAATTGTATTTTATTAATCTTTATTAACACTAAACACACACATAAAGTGGAAAAAGGCAAATGTGGAAAAAGGTGATTGTGAAAAATCATAATAAAAACATAGGGGAAATACTAGATAGCCGCCCAGACTCGTCTCGTATGTACATGTGAATCATATATATATATATATATATATATATATATATATATATATATATATATATTTAATAGTCTGTCTGTAGTATAAAGACAGTATCAAACAAGTAGCCAATATGGTCTCTAAATTATTTTCCCAGTTGACAGCTACAAAGTATTCAATACAATGTAATCTCAGTAATCTGTGGGAAAAGGGGGAGCCAGAAAATAGATAGCTTTAGAATGGGAGAGGGTTTGGGGATAAATGCTGCAAAGCTATGTTAATACAATCGCAAATGCTGGACCAAGTATATTAATATATGATTAAAAGGAGGTTAAAAATCAGTGTGATTACCCCCTATCCATATTAATGAACAATAATACCAAGTATAACCACAAATTAAGTACACCCTACCTCAGTTAAGGTATAAAAAGATATACCCATAAGCAAAGAGGTAGTGGCGATATAATGCCTGGGTAAATAGTTTACAGGTCCTCAGGGAGCCAGGTAAGGTAAATGGGGTATTTGGGATATATATAAAGAGTATAAATGGCAGCTAAATCCTAGAGTAGTATTGTGTTAGGATTACATTTAAATCAGGTTAACAGCATACCACTGTAACATCCCTTTTGAGATACCCCACAAAATTGTGTATATTGCCGTGGACAGATAGTGGGATAAATGAGCAATGAATGGTCCACAGTCATAGTTCCAATATACACACACATTATATATATATATATATATAAACAAAGAAAGATCCAGGATGCACTCGCAGGACTTTGTCAAAAATACTGTGATTTATTTAGATAATGTGCATACAGCAAACAAAAAAACGAAGTTTCGACCCCTGAGGGTCCTTTTCCCCTGCAGGGGTCGAAACGTCGTTTTTTGTTTCCTGTATGCACACTATCTATATAAATCACAGTATTTTTGACAAAGTCCTGTGAGTGCATCCTGGATCTTTGTTTGTTTACATATTGGACGCACTGTGGATGGCACCCAGGCAGGTATATTCGTAATTCTGGTAAGGAGAGTGCCAAGCTATCTATTTAATTTTATATATATATATATATATATAATATAATATATTACATAATATATTTACACACACCACATTGTAGCAAGTCTAGGCAATTCTAAAGAAAAAGTTACAGAGGTTAATTATATAGTGGATTTTTAAATTAAGTTTACAAACATATACCATTTTATTATGTTACAATCAAAAAACGAAAATACCAAAAATTGTGTTATGGGAGGCAATGCAAGAATAAAAGGTCCATCATTTTGTGAATTAAGGTTCCCATGATGCTCAGGCAGCCAGTCTGACTGAGCATCACTGGAAATACAGTCCAGCCCACCAGCAATGTTATTCAGTAAAATGTAAATTCTGGTGAATACTAATGGTGGGAATGGCTAAAGCTCATATAATAGAAAGGAACATTAACACAGAAAGAGAGTGCTCTCTCTCCCCCCCCCTCCCCCTATTGATGAATACAGACATGTTATCCCATCACTCTCCACGGCGCTCTCCGATTACCTTACAGGCAATTAGCATATCTTCATTCCCGGCATGCATCGCGGCAGAACTTACATTCACTTTCGGCGAACTCGAACCGCTTATAACTTCATATAAGGATCACCTGAGAAGTAATTGCTTTAAAGAAGACGAGAGTTTTGACCGTAATGAGTCATGTATGTGAAGCGTTTAGAAATAAATAGCTATCACCGGAAGGTTAATGTATTTGAAATGTCAGGCTATATATACCACTTGGATGATCTACCTAATTGTGCTCGCTTCGGCAGCACATATACTAAAATTGGAACGATACAGAGAAGATTAGCATGGCCCCTGCGCAAGGATGACACGCAAATTCGTGAAGCGTTCCATATTTTTGTTTTGCACCATGTATATAGTACTGCTTTCTCTAAATCTTATCTCTTTTATTGCCTTCAGTAGCAACATTACTCCCAGATTATTATGGACAAACGAGTCATGGAAGACCAAGAGTTCAGGTTAAAAGTTACTGTCATGGAAGGGGTCCCATTACCCTGTGTATTCTTCATAATGAATAATGGCATTAAGCATTTCCACATTAAATGTCATCCATTTGTTGAGAGTGCTGGGAGGAGTCCAGATTTATATATATATATATTTTCTACCATACTTAACCAACTTGTAAAATGCACAAAGATGGACACTTTAAAGGAACACTATAGTGTCAGGAATACAGACATGTATTCCTGACGCTATAGTGCTGAAGTGGCTGTTTAGATGACCCGCTCCATCTCTGTGCAGTAAAAAGGGGATTTTACTCACATTTTCTCCTATGCCGCGCAGGTCTCACCACATCTGACCCTATCCTGCACCTCCTCCATGGCTGAGATCATCAGATTTGATTATCTCAGCCAATCAAAAGCTTTCCCAGAGGAAAGCATTGAGAGGCTACTGCACATGAGCGGCAAACGACACGCTGCGCCAATCAGCATCTCCTTATAGAAATGCATTGAATCGATGGATCTGTATGGGGAACATTCAGGGTCTCCACACTCTCGCTGAATATCAGTGCTGTACATTGTGTAGAACTGAACTAAAAGTCACCTCTAGCAGGTGTCTTTGACTGTCACTAGAGGTGTTACAAGGCAGCAATGTAAACAGTGGCGCACCTACCATGTTTGCAGGGGTCACCGCTGTGACCGGGTCCTGCTGAAGGTGGAACGAATGTGGAGACTCCAGGGCCACCGGACCAACAAGAAAACCAGTGTGTCCCCTTCCTGGCTATAGGTAAGACACAGGGAGGGGGGAATAATCCAATAAAATACAAACTGCTCATGCCCACCCCCTACACAAACACACACTGCATACGCAAATACACACTACATACACTGCAGTTACATGTGGACCTGCTACTCCAGACCTTCGATTGAATCTGTGAAAAATTCTTGGCACAGCTCTGGATACCGACCTCCATTTCTGCAAGCCAGGTCGGAGTCAAGCAGAACCGCACTGCTGTAAAGCCTAGGTCTCATGAGCCCCGCCAGCATGTTCCCAGAGGGGAGTGCAGTGGCAGAAGCCGGGTGAGGGAGCCTGCAGGACCACAGCGACGAGCCCTGGTAAATGCCATGAGGAGAGCAACGATGGAGTGCAGATTGGACCGGATGGAGAGGTCTCCATAATGTCATGGATAGAGGTGGCAGTTGGAACTTACCTACCCTAGGCATTGGTTGAGGGGTCCACAGGCTTTACTCCCAACTTGGCTGTTATTGTGATGGCTTTGCAATGCCTTTTACTAGCCAGGTGTCTTATATCAATTACTCGTTTAAAGCCCATCTAACCAGTGATATTCCTTCCTTTCTTTTTTGGTTTCCTGTACAGTTCTTTTTTATAGCATATCTTACTATCTTTTGGTTTAAAGGGACACTATAGTCACCAGAACAACTACAGCTTAATGTAGTTGTTCTGGTGAGTATAATAGCTCCGTTCAGCCATTTTCATATTCACATTGCCCCTAGGGACACCTCCAAGTGGCCACTCCTTTGATGGCCACTGGAGGGGCTTTCTGGCTCAGGGCTGCACAGTAAGCAGCCCTGCCGTTCAGTGTCCCCACGCTCTGCATGGAGACGCTGAATTTTCCTCATAGAGATGCATTGATTCAATGCATCTCTATGAGGAGGTCCTGATTGGCCACTGTTCTCTTATGTCTCCAAAAACATGATACCAGTGGAAAATTACAAATATGGGATGCGTGGTATATGACCCCTGTGTCTCTGGATACC